TCACACATAAACACAACCCTACCCCCACTCGCGCGCATGCACAAATATTTACCCCCACACACCCACACACAGTCTTCCCTCCTGATGAGCATCCTGGGAGAGCTCCCGACCCAGAAGGGTGATGTGCGGGTGTCCGGCCGTGTGGCCTACGTATCCCAGCAGCCTTGGATCTTCTCGGGAAGCGTGCGACAGAACATCGTGTTTGGTGGCGTTTTCGACAAGTCGCGCTATGACAAGGTCGTCAAAGTCAGCGCGCTCAAGCGGGTAAGTCGACCTATTGCTGGTGGAAACATATGTGAAGCGTGCTGACAAAATGAGATACTTCTCACAATCCACAAATGGAGATATTGGCCAAAAACTGACACTACTGTAAAATTTGTAGATTTTCTATTGATGCCATATTCTTAAAGTACAACATGTATTTTATTATTTCATCCTTATAAATTGTAACAACTTCCCCTATAAGCGTAATACGTGTATCCACTTCCACTGGGCTCAAATCCGAGAAGTAACTCATTTTTGTCAGCACGCTTCACTTTATGTGTGTCATGACGTGGTAGAATCAGGTGTTTGTAAATTTTTGGACGCCTGGAGTTATTGATATCATCTTACAGATTGTTCATTTGACCATCTTTTGATGAAAAAGTTGCACGCATATCTTGAATACAAGTCGAGATATTTGCGATTGAAGGAGATCGGGGTCATCAATTTCAGAGGTAAAATTAACCAAAAAATGGCTGGTTTCCAAAGCTTGAGAGTCCTTAGAAACTGAATATTTACATTATTTTGTTGTGTATTAAATCATTGTTTTTCAGTAAATTCCTCACTGAAGTATGTTTTATATGGTCATAAAGGGTATTGGGCCAAAAGTCAAAATATTTTTTTTCAAATTGTTAAACTGGAAGAAAAATGCCAATATCTTTGATTTCATATTTTGACAAGCGCCTGATTTCACCATGATGCCTCGTATATGTGTTGTAAAGTCATCCTTATACTGATGTATTTTATCACTTCACATTGTTGAATTGTACAAACTCAGCCTATAAATTTGGTGTATCTATCTTTGTCCTTAGGGCTAATATCCGAGAAGTAACTCATTCTGTCTGCACCACCCCCCTCCCCCCCCCAACATTATCTAATTGTGTTGCAAATGCTGTAAAACTCTTACAAAGACTAAAACTTCTTCTCTTTCACCTATCTCGTTGACTGGATGCCCGTCGGGGCGCTTTTGAAGATTTGGCCACCAGCTTCCTCCACTCCTTCCTGTCTTCAGCTTTCATGAGCGTGTCTTTGAGTTCCAGGCCTGTCCATTCCTTGATGTTGTCCTCCCAACTGTTCTTCGGTCTGCCTCTGTTCCTTTTTCCCTCGACGCTGCCTTACAGGATCATCTTGGCAATAATACTCTCACTAAAACATTTTAAAACTAAAACGAAAAGTAGAAGTAAGTAATTAACTGAGTAACTGATGAACCGATTTCCCCAGGACTTTGAAATCATGCCACAAGGTGATGCTACGCTCATCGGAGACCGGGGCGTGAGTCTGAGCGGGGGTCAAAGGGCGCGCGTGTCACTGGCCCGTGCCCTCTACATGGACGCTGATATCTACCTGCTAGATGACCCGCTCAGTGCCGTGGACACAGCTGTTGGAAGACATATCTTTGAGAAGTCAGTGGTTTGTCTGTCTGTCTGTCTGTCTGTCTGTGTGTGTCTGTCTATTTATCTGTCTATCTGTCTATGTATCTACATATATT